GGAAGCTGGAATAATGAGCATATCAGTTCATTCCAAGGATGACTCAGAATAATTGCACATAACAGGAGATCTTTTCATTTCTCTCTTCTGGATTTCTACTGACATATTTGTATTTAAATGTCAAACTGGTGGAGGGGAGAAGGCCATTGCATTTAAATCAGCCACAGCAACCAACTTTGAACCAGTGAATATAAAACGAGCAAGACTGAAGGCCGGTTTGTTCATCCTTATTACCTCCTGCAGCAAGTATGATCAAGGCCTGGCAATCAAAAACTTTATCGCCATCACATAAACTAATATGATGATGCTTCACAGCTTGGGCACAGTTTCTTTTATGTCACTCTATGGGAAATCAGTTCATGATTGTATGCTGAGTACTGCTGCCACAAATTCTAGCTCATTCACGTGCCAAGAAAAATAGATGTACTAGATGGATTCACATCTCACTATTACAATAATAATAACAACTCAAGTCATTTTGTATGAAAATGAGCAAGGGAGATGGAGTGGGGAAAAACTATGGACTATCTTTTATTTTACACTGAAATCTACACCTTGAATTCTGCAAAACTCGCACTATTTTAAAGGCTAGGTCTTGAGTCCTTATGGTATATGAATATAAAAAATACTTGCACCCCCCCCCCCATTCTTGTTCAGAAAGGCTGATTTAATACATTGAGACACCCTCATGGACAATGGTTCATCTGGAAAATATAAGGTCAAAATTGGCTGCCAAATACAATTTTTTTCTAAATCAGGGGTGGTCAAATTGCAACCTGCAGGCCACATGTGGGTCCCAGAGCTGTTTTTCTTTTGTTCCAGAATGACCTCAAATGATCTCAAAGGAGTGTGGAGGGGATTTCTACCATGTTCTGAGACACCTTGGATTCCAGGGGTCAATTCTTTGCTCAACAATGCCCTCTGTTGGTCATAGGGGACATTTCCACCATGTTTTAAGAGTCCCTGGGCCAATAGAATCTGAATTAATTTACTCTGAGTGCACTTCCTTTCATTAAACAGTATAACAATAGCAATAGCAGCTCCATTTCTATACTGCTTCATACTGAACTGAGCAGTCTCTAAGCGGTTTACAACGTGTAAGCCAATGTGTAAATATGCATGTTTGATGTCCTTCTGAATAAATACAAAAAGATGTCCCTCACCCAAAACTTCATAATGTTTTTAAATGCATCCTGTTGTATGTGAACCTTGCAAAAGTGACCACTTAAACACTTTTTATAACTTTGCTAGGCTTTGGATCAGACTAAGTAAATATGGATGCAACCTAAATGGAGCTGAGTTACACTGTTAAGTCCCACTGAGGTAGAGAAAAATGGGAGCCAATGTCATTCAGCATCTAAGAGAAAATGACATATTATTAACACAATGAAGGGGAGGGAGCCTTTGGCTACAGTTCTTCTTGTCATTCTGACTTGAAAGGACATAATGAACACACGGAGCACTTGCCTTATCAAGATGCTGAGTGACATCTGCTGAACACAATTTCCAGAATCAAAATCTACAACTGTCTTTCTAGTATTTGCTGTGATTGGGCAATTACATTGCTAGCCCCAGTCTCCTACTCACTGCATCCAGGGTTCTTCCACATTGTTTGTTACAGCAGGAAGTCATGACAAAGTCAGACTTTGATAAGGCAAGGGAAGCGTATAAACCTCAGACATTTACAAGGGAGCTTTGGTGAAACCTAAAAAAAATTAACCTTCAGGCAGGTGTTTCAGTACTAAAAAATATTGCAGACCCATAAATCCTTTTGTAAGTGGATTCATTTCCACTGACTTTGAATGAGCTGCCCACCTAAATGTGAAGGGGTTGATGCTTTAGCTCTCTGTATATTTAACTGTCAGAGAAGTGTTAGGTAGAGCTCATATACTTTCTGTTGTGGTTCCTTTAACTGACACCTAAATAAATAGGTGAAGTAAAATACATATATCTGCCAAGACTCTTTCTTGTTAATTTTGTCATCCCAGTCACTAGTTAAAGCTGACTTTCAGTGGGCTGTGTGTATTTGCAGGTCAGGCTCATCAAACATTCATTGTTCAATACTGTGACAGCTTGTAGCAGACATACATGCTCTCCTCTTGTTTGGTTTTCTGATAGAACCTGTCAAGTACTGCTTGACTGTAACTGAATTTGTCACTCTTTCAGCAAGGTTATATCTCTTCTTATCATCAAACAAAAACAATAAAAGGAAAAAAAACCTGATACAGATTGCAAGAATTGATTATAAGGCAGCTAACTATGCAAGCGAGCAGAATTTCACCAATCACTTACTCTAACAAACCCAGAAATTATTTAATGATTATTTTTGCTGGCTTTATGAACCTCAAGATCCGTGTTTTGCAAGATCAACCTATAAAAGTCTACCAAAAGTGCATTCTTCATAATGGGATAGAGATCACAGATGAGATCCTGCACCACCTACTTAATTACAAATATGTAATTACATAATGTTGCCAAGACTGACTGACTCCCAAACCTACCTTTACAGCCAGCAGCCACACTAATTGAGTGATGGCTAACTAAGGTGCAGCAGGACGATGTTTCCATCCGCCTTCCAACATTGAATGAGGCTGCAACAATCAGAAGAAGGATACTTGTTGAAATTTCTTACTTGCTGGTGGGAGGGGGATGGAAATGTCATCTTACTGTGCCCTAACTGGCAGCAGAATAGACCTCTATTGCTCAGTATGACTGCTGGCTGTTAAAATTAATTTGGGAAGGAATTTCCAATTGTGGCAATCGTAGCAATATTAGTATATAGCTTTAGCAAATACCGTGTTCTGGGTTATAAATCTATAACCACAATGCAGGATGTCAGCCAATTTTGTTTTTGTTTTGTTTTGTTTGTAGCAACCTGATCTTTCCTTCTCTTTTCTTTCTTCTTTCATTTCCCTTCTTTTTCTTCTGAAAAGGACAAAATATTTTGTTTCCTAAATATTTTTACCGAACCAAACTTGAAGGTTTCAGATGATAGCAAACTATCAGGACGAAGGAAAGAATGAAGGAATGAAAGAACGAAAGAAAGTAAGAAAGAAAGTAGGTTGTCTCATATTTATAAATACACTTTTCATTTAAGGAGGCTCTTTGATACTCAACCACAAAGTTAATCCTGGTGTAACGGGCTGAAATGCATCCTTATGCATTCACTCTAGCTTATATGCAATGGATGGAGCACTTTGGGGTAAAGGAAATCACTCTTCAAAATTCTAAAAAAGACACTTTGTTCTTCAATTTCCAGATCTTGAACTTTTCTTCTTTTCTTCACTAATACTAGCTTTTAGGGAAACAGATATTTAAATCAATAAAATGATATAGAATAAAAAGTTGATTCCCACTGCTGGAAATAATTTGGAGTGTTATTAAATGGAAACCCCAATATCTTCTTTGAAGCTAGGGGAAAAAGGATCCACAGGTAGAATGACACTTCCCTGTACTACAAATATTTTGTCTTGAGTGTCTTGAGTGTCACCTTCTAGCTCAAACTAGAAGCAAAGCAGAATTAAATGTCTGGCCATTAGGCACTTTCTCCAGCATACCCATCAGCAATTGATGTCTTCTCATTATCTCCATCTCTATTCATTCCTTTTTAAAAAAACAAAGAACAAAACATACTTATCAGTTTACAACATTTCCCCATTTTTGTGTCTGTTTCTTCTTCTATGAATAGGACTTTAAATCAGGGGTAGGCAACCTAAGGCCTGGGGGCCGGATGCGCCTGCCTGAGGTTTTTGGACCGGCCACAGGCCGGTCCTGCTGCCGCTGCCCGCCATAATGATATTGATTATTGTTGTTATTAGTTGTTCTTGGGGTTTTCTTGGCAAACTCTCCACAGGGGTTTTGCCATGGCTTTTCTGGGGCTGAGAGAGTGTGCATGCACTTTTTAAAATTATTTTTTTATTTATTTAGTTAGTTATGGTGCTTCGGCCCCCCAGTTGTCTGAGGGACAGCAACCCGGCCCCCGGCCCAAATAGGTGGCCTACCCCTGCTTTAAATAATGCTGTTGACTTGTAACAGCTAAATTGATGATTTAGATACTATGCAAAATAGTTGTTGTTGACAGTGGCAGGCATCCTGTATTGCAGTTAAAGATCTGTAACCTTGAGCTACAGATTTGTAAGTGCTCCATATTCACTAACACTACATATTCACCATCATGGCACTATTGCCATGATCACAAATGCCACCCCAAAAGCCAGCAGTTACACTGAGCCATGGAGATTTGTTCTGCTGCCAATCAGGGCATGGCAGGATGATGTCTTCAGCCTTCTCTTCTAGTGAGTGAGGCTGTGACAAGGAATTTTGGTAGATATTCTGCTTCTAATTGATGCAGCATCACTCACTGGTGGGAGGTGGCTGGAAATGTCATCCTGTTGCACCCCAATCAGCAGCATAACAGATCTCCATTGCTCAGTGTAGCTGCTGGATGTTAAGGTAGATTTGGGGAGTCAGGTCAGGAAGCGATATGTAGTTACACATGTGTATCTAAGTAGACAGTGTAGGATCTTGGCCTATGCATCATAAAAATGTGGGGTGCAATGGTATCCAATTGGCAAGGGGTCAGGAAAGGCTGCATCTGATCACCTCATCTTTTTAAATTGTACACTGTACATATTATATGTAAAGCAGGATTAAACATGAAGGAAGGTGTGGAAATTGGAGGAAGGAACATTAGCAATTTAAGATATGGAGATGACAACATACTACTAGCAAAGAGTTGGAATGATTCCTGAAGAAAGTCAAGGAAGAAAGTGCAAAGGCAGGTTTACAGCTGAACATTAAGCAATGCAGGTTGGGGAAACTCTTTTCTGAGCTATGCCCAAACTTATGTTTTTCAAGTTGGTGTGTGCCTTCAGGTTTTTTTCTGACATATGGCAGCTCTAAAATGAACTTGGCAAGATTTGTTCAGAGAGGGGTTTGCTATTGCCTTTCTCTGAGGATGAGAGAGAGCGACTTGCCCAAGGCCACCCAATGAGTTTTCATGGCTAAGTGGGGATTTGAACCCTGGCCTCTAGAGTTGTAATCCAATGCTCAAACCACCATACAACACAAACTGTCTATTCCAAGACAAAGAAAAATGGATGAAATACAAGGAAAGCTTGACTGGTCTCTCTTCTTTTCATTATCCCTAGAAATGATCTCCAAGGCCAGTTTTCCTTTAGCGGTTCTTCCTTCTAGTTTTAAATCATGGTATGAAGGAAAATGAGAGGTAAGGATTGTTAGGCATCATCTCCCACCAGTGGTAACTTCTAGCTTCTATGTTGATGGGGTGATAAATCCACTCCAGAGATATTGGTAGTGCTGAACCATATTCCCCTAATATGTTCAGAACTCTGGATAGCTCCAACGTGTCAGTTCTCTTCTGCAGTTGTCCGCTATTCCTGCATTAGCTTTAGAAGGGGATAATGGTTGTTGAAATACTTTTCTTCCCTCTGTATTTCAGATTATACTGTTCAGCTCTTATAAAGGAGAAGTGGTGGCAGAACTCTCAGCTCTCAGCAGTAGTTGTCCATATTGTGGCCTCATTCAAATGAGCGGAGGTGTATTCTACATATTCACTGACTAACCCACCTTGAATCCCACTGTGGGAATAAGGCGGGATATAAAACCTTGAAATAAATAAAATAAATAAATACAGTGCAGATTGTAGATCACAATATAAAGTAGCTTGCAAAATTCTGGTGAAATTCCAACACAAAAAGGAAAAGCTCATTTCTATATGAACATAAGCCTGAAGTTCATAGACCATCATCCAGTCATGGTCCATGGACTGGTGCCTGTCTGTGAGCCATCAGCTGTCAGTACACAATAGATGTCCCAAAACATATGAGTACACTAATAATATGGTAAAAATATAGTATTGGTCCCTGGCATATTTATTTATTTATTTATTTATTTATTTATTTATTTATTTGCTGGTCCTCTGTGCCAGATAGCTTGAGAATCACTAATTTAGATTTGCGTAAAATGAAATCAGAGTGAATGTAAATTTCAGTCATGTCCGTTTTAAAGCCAGTGATATATAAAGATGGCTGAAATGGTATGAGAATAGTTTACACTTTCTAGTCACAAACAAAACAAAGTATATGATGAATCAAGTATACAGTTAGATTATCTTGAAGAAGCTGTATGAATAAACTGTAGTTTACTGTGTTACCAGAGCTCTCTGATAGAGATGGCTCAATGGCTCAGAAAAATAATACAATTCCCATGATTCCCTAGCACTTAGCCAGGGCAGTTAAAGGGGAATCAATTTGCACTATTTCTGGCAGTCTGCAAAGGCCCATATTTCACTAGAATTAACCCCCACAAGAGAAGTTAAATATGCATGAATGTAATCTGCTATAGAATTTTTAAAAAGGAAGCTAGGTTAGATACATGTGATCTAATGCCAAAGTAACTTCCAAATGGTAGTTAAGTCACATAAGCATAAAGGTTCATATGAAATTGCCAGCACCCATCAGTAAACCACCAGAAAATATCAGCTTTCACAAGTATTGTAGTAAGCCATTTTATTTTAGAACCTGAAGGCTGGGGGCCTATGCATAAATGAGTGTAATCTGCAAGCTTTGTTCAGATCTAAATGTGCAACATGTAATTATCTCCTCTGCACCACCAACACCAGTAAGCATTTTGAATTTTGCAAGCATTTTGGCAGGGGGAAATTGGCATTGTGAAGAAGATGCTGCTGCTCCATATGAAAACTGTGCAAGAAAGAAAGTGTACAAAAGAGAGAAACGGGCATGTCAATTTAAGGAGAGAAAGAAAGCAGGAACTGTACAGTGTAAGAAACCCTTCCTGTTAGGATGCTGCTATATGCAATAAAGCTACACAGAGTTCTCTGGAAATAAGTGCAATATAAATCTAATAAAATAATCTTTGTTATTATCACTCTGTTAGCCTTAGAAGCTGTGTTTCTCAGGTTCAAAAGACATCAGTGAGGATTGAACAGAACAATGAGAGAGAGAAGATGGCATCTCTATGGAGCAGGAATGTTATTGTAGCATTGCTGAGGCCTCTGTGTCAGAAGCTGAAAGTAATTCTCTCACTGTCAAGCTGCAGAATTCCAATTACAGGATCAGATTTAAATACAATCCTGTTGAGTCTATTGTTGAAAGTATATCTGCCACATCGTGGGAGTCAGTGATGGCTTTGCGATACTGTAATATGTGCCATAATAACCATTTCCCCTCTGCCTTGTGCTGTATGCACAGAGAAACTAATCTGTTCACGTTTGATCTCTTTAAGAACAATTCCTATCTATGTGGAGAAAGGAGAGGAATTTCACCTCCTGTAACTGAGACATGAAAGCAAAGCATGTGGGTTTTTACAAGGTCTGGACTACATTTTATTTTTGAACATTCAAGGCTCCAGCGAGAGATATCTCTGATTTAGATTGTGATAAGAACTGACTGTGCCACTAAAGCATTTTCATGACCTAGAAATTACCTCAGGTTTTAAGAGCTGGTATAGCCTACTCGGCAAGAGATTCTGAAGGGAAGTATGCCTACAAGAGACATCCAGGGCATTTTTATCAACTCTTTAGGCTTCTGGTGTCTCATGGTATCATATGTGAACAATCAAATCAGTTCTGATTTGAACGCTGTCACTTGGATTAGGGTTTATCTATCGCATGGTAGCACTGAGTTAGCAGGCCGCAGAGATGAATAGGAGTACTGATTGCTGAACTGACAGCCTTAAAGATGAGTAGCGTTATTTTATCACATCCTTCTTTGCAGCATGTGCCACTGGGTTTCAGCTGTCATATTTTTGAAAATTATCAAGCTTCGTTCAGAGTTAAGCCACAGTGCTTGGATCCTCAGAGCACAGTGTAGAAGCCTCTCTGGTGTTATCAAACCACATCCCTTTATTTTTGTTAAATTCTATAGCAGTGGATTAATTAGACTCAAGCAAAGTGACTTATTTCTTTCAAAGCACAATGCAAAGCTATTAGCACAGTCTTGCTAAAATTGTTAAGCCATTCCCTCAACAGTTACACACACACACACACACTTCCTATTTCACCTGTTTGGCAAGCTTGTTTTTTTTTTTTAACAGCACTGTAGAGAACATCTGAAATTTACCTTATGAAACAGAATGCCTTTGCATAATATGAAATGTGTTTGTGTGTGCACATGTGTGCATGTTCATGCATGCATGGGTGTGTACACACATGTGTGATCATTGTTATTATCTACATGACAACAGCATGCACTACCAACTATAGGAGTACTTATGAAACCATTGGGCTGCCACACCTTGAAGGGACATCTAATTGATGTGGATATGTGATAGTTCTTTCTAGTTGGGTTGCTCTCCTGTGGCTTTCCAGCTGTGATCTTACCTGCATAAAGCACATCCAGAAAAAGAGCTCTGTGTATAGATCTGTGTGAGGTGACTTGAGGTCTCAAAGCAGGGCAGTTAAATGAAAAACCTTCCACTTTATACCTTGGTGGCAATGGAGCTTATCACATGGACAAAAACCCTGATTGCACCCCAGTGGGATGCAGGTGGGTTGAGGGAATTATTGGACATAATTGGCCACCAATTCCACTGGGTGACTGCAGCCCGGGTCCCACGCATGCTTCAGTGGCCGCTTTTCAAATCTGGGAGCTTTCTGACTTTGAAAAGCGGCCTCTGAAGTGTGCCTGGGACCTGGGCTGCAGCCAGGCTGCACTCACCGGACAGAATCAGTGGCCATTTATGTGCAATAATTCCCACCTGCATCCCACAACCCGGCTGCATTCCGTTGGAGTGCATCAAGTTTTTTGTCTATGCAATAAGCTCCAATATCAGTAGTGTGAATTCCCAATCTCCTGTTGCGTTTAAGTGCCACCTGCATAGCTGGCTGGAAAGAGGAACTGCAGCTAGCTGACTGAATGCTTGGCAAGTGAAAGAAGGCCTATGTGGACATCATCAGGCCCTATAAAGCCTTATATGATCACATGAATATAACAAACTGGTGTTTAAAGATAGTCAAGCTACTGTCAGCTACTTCTTTGGGTAGCCCACTCAGACCAGTTATCTCTTTTTCATTGCATTCCATTCCAGTATGTGTTCAATGAGGAGCTACAGTGGAAGACAAGGAATTAAAAGAGTGTTTTTCTGGGATGACTACTTAGGATGGAATTTGGAGGCACTACATTTTAGCGATTTAATTTCCAGCTGGTAGAAAATTCCAAAAAGTCATGCTCTGTAGCATCTGTCTCTGTTCCAGGACATTTAGGGTTGTATTCCTCTGACTTCCTTAGTATTAAACACCTACATGATACTGCTAGAGAAAGTCATCCAGATATTTGAAGTGAGTTGTTTCTATGTGTTGACTAAACCTTTAACACAGGGGTTGGCAAACTATGGCCCGTGGGCCGAACCCAGCCCGTTGAGGCCTTGTAACTGGCCCGTGGCCGGTCCTGTCGCCGCTGCCGCCTTTCTCTCTCTCGTGTGCACGGCCTCCTCCTCCAGCCTCCTCCTCCTCCTCTTCCGCCCTCCGCCTTTTCCTCTGCTCTTTCCTCCACCTCCACGTCCTCCTCCACCCTCTGCCTCTTTTGCTCTCCTCCTCCTCTTCCTCCACCCTCCGCCTTTTCCTTTGCCTCTTCCTCCACCTCCTCCTCTGTCCTCTGCGTCTTCCTCTGCCTTCCTCCTCCTCCGCCCTCTGCCTCTTCCTCCACCACCTCTTCTGCCCTCTACCTCCTCTGCCCTCCGTGGCAGGTAGGCGAGTCTCAAGCAGTTGTTGATGATGATGTTGATGGGGTTTTCTTGGCAAAATTTCTTCAGAGAGGGTTTGCCATAGCCTTCCTCTGAGGCTGAGAGAGTGTGACTTGGCCAAAGTGGGTTTGCATAGCCAAGCAGGAATTCGAGGCCAGCTCTCCAGACTCCAGCCTCAGACAAGTGCTTCACTCATGCTACCTCTGTGCTTGTTTGTTTCATTTACGGTAACATTTTTAATTGTTGATGATGATAATGATAATAATGATTATTATTATTTTTTCTTGGGGTTTTCTTGGCAAAATTTCTATTATTAATTGTTGTTGTGTTGATGCTGATTTGTTGCTGT